CGCAGGCACAGAGGTGTAAGGAAACACAGTTTCATCAAAGATGACATGTCGAGTCACAAAGAACCGATTGGTTTGAGGAGAAAAACAAATATACCCCTTATACTGACCAGCATAGCCCAAAAAAATGCACGTGGAAGTCTTTGTCTGAAGTTTGTGAGTATTGTAAGGCTTGAGTAAAGGAAAACAAGCACAGCCAAAGATTCTCAAATGAGTAACGACTGGTGCAGAACCATACATTAAGAAATAAGGAGATTTAAGTTGAAGAATTTGACAAGGCATCTGATTAATCAAATAGATGGAAGTAGCACAAGCATGAAACCAAAATTTAGGAGGTAAATTGGCAGTTTGTAACAAAGTGATTGCAGTTTCTAAAATGTGCCTATGTTTTCTCTCAGCAAGACCATTTTGTTCAGGAGTATATGGACATGACAGTTGATGGACAATGCCCTTGGTAAGAAGATAATGTTTGAATTTATTACTAAGATACTCACCACCCCCATCACTTTGAAAAACTCGAAGAATAGCAGAAAACTGAGTAACTAAGAAGGCATGGAAATAGACAAAGATAGAATAAACCTCTCCTTTATTGATCATTGGAAAAATCCAAGTAAACCGAGTACATTCATCTATGAAACTAACATAATATCTGAATCCCTCAACAGATATAGTGGGAGAAGGACCCCAAACATCACTATGAATTACTTCTAAAGGTTTGACAGACTTAACAGCTGGATAAGGAAAAGGAAGTTTGGCAAGTTTGCCTTCTAAACAAGTGGTACAGACTAATTTGGAAGTGTCTGAAGTAAAAGAAATTTGGGATTGATTTAAAAGAGCAGAAGTGATTTTGTTAGAAGGATGACCGAAACGCTTGTGTCAGAGACTGGTTTTGACTTGTTGACCAAGATAGCAGAATTGATTCTTGGGGAAAGAAGATGCTTGTGGAAGACGAGGTGGTGGAATGGATGAAATGGAGAAATGAATAGGATACAAGCCAGCTCTACACAGTCCCTTGAGAAGAACAATCCCCGTGATCTTGTCCTGAATCCAAAAACCAAATGCATCACAAATAAAGCTGCAATTGTTATCTTTACACAACCTATGAACTGATAGCAAATGTTGGGACAGCTTAGGCACATGCAAAACTTGTTTTAATTGTAAAGAGCACTGTGGAACTTTCAAAATGGAAGAGCCAATACTAGAAATGCTCAAACCTGAACCCCCTGCAGTGGTAATAGTATCAGATCCTGAGAAAGGAGTAGCCAAGCTGAGTTGAGCCAAATAAGAGGTCATATGAGTTGTTGCACCAGTATCAGCCACCCAAAATTGCTCATGAGGTGTAGAAGATGGAAAGTTTGCATGCATGGCACTAAGATTGGCGGAAGGAGGTTTGCCTTGATAAGAGAAGTTGCCTCTATGATAACATTGAATAGCAGAATGCCCAAATTTCCAACAAAGAGAATTTCTATGATACCATATCAAGATAGTAGAATTACACAGAGGCAAATAGAAAAGTGAAGATAAGCAGAGAGAATTTCTGATGAATAGAGAGAGAGAGAGAGAGGAAACTATTGTATTTTCATTAATCTTTGTCTAACACTATTACAGACCTTTATATTAAGCTATAGCTAGAAGCTGGTTCACGTTCTCTAACCTCTCTAACCTCTCTTTCTTTCACTGATCAATGCTAACAGACTTTCTTAACTGTCTAACAAGACTAACAACATTTTAACCACTTGATTCTTTGATCTCTTGACATGTGGCAAGACTAGGACCTTTGATATCTTTACAACCTTAACACCATTGTAGGGACAAATGAGGAGGTCATGTTATGTCTTGCTTACAGGATCTCGTCTTATGAATTAAAGTCCATGCATAAGCTGACCATGCTATCTCTTGCTAAAGTTTGTTCCCCAAATGCCGTCATATGGATCAAATTTCATGCATTAGCTGGTCTTCAAGTTAGTTTCAGAATCACCCCGGATAATCATCTCGTCTTCTAAATCCAGAAAATATTACATGACCTACTTTTTAAGGTAATAGCAAAGAAAGATCGCTTAAAAGTGATTACTTAGATAGGTGCATGAATTGAAATTAAAATAAATGAAAGAATTGCCAAACAACACCCAAGAAAATCATTCAAATTAACATACAGAAATCCAACAGAAAATAACTACAAAGTTAGCTAGGAATCCCAAGCAAAATTAACATAAAGTTAGAAATGGACAACTCAGCCACGCTAGTCCCCATAGCAAAAGGCAATGAATTGCCATATAACATTTTATCAATGATGTAGATAATGAGGATTACAGAAAAATCATGTTCTTTTTTTTGGATTCGAACATAGGACTTTGGGTGCATGGGTAACTACGCTTAACCACTTAAGGTACAAGCCCCGTGTGACAATACCATTCCTACAGTCGGTCAGTGCACCTAACATTTGTCAAATGTATTGAGCCTGAACATCCACCACCAGAACATTTGTCTATATTTGCCTCAATATCTCAAACTATCAGGAGCACCTAGAAAAACAAATAAAAAATAAGCATTTTAAGAAGTTCGACCATGGTGTTCTTAGTGAAGCATTTAATCAAACAGTTGAAATATCATTTTCATACTTTTTCAAAAGAACATAGCAGCTATTTGATGAATTGCCATTGGAGACATGAAACTCGAAGGTTACCCAGAGCTCTTACACAAACAGAAATTAATGCCAACATATCCGAAGCCAATATTGTACATAGTTATTTGCTGTTTGAAATCTAGATGGTTTAGTATTTGCAAGGTTATGATGTAACTTACGTAAATCACATTTCCATAACTTTATGGCCTATGCACAAATTATAGTGTTCATGTCTAAGATCTTATTTTCTTTTTTCTGTCCTAGGAATCTAGGTACTTTGAGCATTTTCACAAACACCTAATAAGCACACTACATTACATCCTTATAGTGTCATGAATAAAAGACAGACGAGCTTTGAAAGAGAGTTTAAGAATAAGGTACACCTACCAAACTTCCATCATATTGTCGTCTCAGTTGGATGAAAAGAACTTGCATGTCATGGGAATAACACTGTTTGGAAAATAACTTGCATGTCATAGGAATAACATTGTTTTGCTATCCCCGTGATATACAAGTTTTTCTCCATTTGGAGATGGTTGTTCCTGCATAGATATACTCTTCTTACGCCGCTTTTGAGGATTCATTGGTTCCAAAGGCAAAGAAAGCCACTGCTCTTGCAGATCGTTGTCATTGACTGCCATGACGTCACCACCATCTTGCTTGTATACTAGGTGGACTCCACAACTTTTAAATTAAAGAACATCGACCCTGAGTTGCCACTACAATAAAATTTAACTTCGCACCTCCTTGCATGAAGATTCACACACGGCTTGATTTGTAATGGAATGTACTTGAGCCACACATGAGCTGACTCTGTCTCTCTTGAATAAAAATGAACTCCACCATTCATTGAAATTTCAGCTCGAAAACAATAATCAGCAGATTTACTTTGTGTTCTTTCAAAAACAGCACAAAGAGCCAGTCCCATGTGTTCCCATTTCAAATTTCTTGGGATTTCAATTGAAAGTTCACATATTGGTTTCCAACCTAGAGGGTAGTCAACAAGATATTCATATATAAAATTGACCTCTTTCCGGCAACTGAACCACTTCGGAACTTCACTGCCTGGTAGTAAAATTTCAAAGTTGGTGTTTTCAGAGGAGACCTGTGACACATTAAACATGATTTAACAATATATTATAGAGAACACAAGTAAGTTTTAATTTTATTGTCCCCAAAAAAGGTTAATTATGATTTTGGTGCATGTAGCTTGGACGAGTTTCATTTTGGTCCCTGTAGCTTGGACGAGTTTCACTGGAATTTTCATAGGTGTTAAGCACCTCAAATGTGTCCCAAACATGTTAATTTCATTTTCAGAAAGAAAAAAAATACAAAATCAAGTTATTGTTCGTGAATTGCAATAACTAGTACACACGTTTAAAATGGCGAAAATTGAAATTACCAAACAAAAATCATAAATTTTTCTATTAAAAAAAAAAGTCATAACCAATCTATGCAGATAAAGAGAAGAGCTGACCTGATTCAGTAATACACCTTCCATCTTAGCCGCATCATAACCCAGATTATCACATAGTCTACGGCAATTGAACAAATCCATGCACACGAGCTCTCCTAACTCATTGTGTTCCAATATGGTTGATAATTTTGAAAAATTTTCTAATGATATGCAATCACTTACATCTACCCAACTTAACTTTGATGGAAGTTCTGGAATTTCTAAAAGATACTTGCAACAACACAATTTAAGCTCCCACAAGTTGACAAACTTACTAATGCACGAGGGAAGAGTAACAAAGTTGCTTCCTGATAGATCAAGTTCTTGTAATGTGGACGCACAATCAAGCGTCGCAAGGAAACTGCTTTGTGATAAATTGCATCCTCCCATACGAAATTTCAATAGCTTGGGAAGCACCAAAGGAAGTGATATCACATTATGTGGAAATGTAATAAGTTCTGGGCAGTCGTCGATAAAAAGATACCGAAGATTTTGCAACTCATAGATGTTGCATGGCAGATTTGTGAGGTTGGGAGAATCATATAGATTTAATTCTTCCAGGCCAGTGAGAAATCCAACTGATGACGGCAATTCTTTTATGGCAGTGCCTATTAGAACTATAGATCTTAAGAACTCCATCAAACCCACAATTTCAGGAAAAAAATTTAATCTTCTGCAACCTCCAAGATGAAGAATTTCCAAAGATTTCAACCACATCCTTCTTGGAAAAATCATAAGATTAGAGCATTTATGAAGACTCAAGTGAACAAGTTTATCAAGGAATCCGACAGAAGGATGGACCTCAGCTAAACTTGTACAGTAATTCAGATTTAAGTACTCTAAATTTGGGGCCCCAGAGAAGTCGGGGATTTCTGTCAGGAATTCACAATGATCTAAATTTATAGACCTCAGCTTTTGCAAATTCTGTGAGACAAATAAACAAGAAAAATTGACAGAAACAGATGCTAAGGTACAAAGTTATTTAAATTTATAAATAAATAAAAAAATCTTCTGCACAAATAATTTCAATACCTTAAATCCCTCCCCTAGTCGTGTCAGATGGCTGCGAGGCATATTGAGCTTAAACATCTTCTTTGGATTGAAATTGGCTGGAAAAGATTGTAATGGACATCCAGGCCAATCGAGGAACATCAACTCATTAGGGAGACATTCAACATCTCCAAAAATCTGTGCATTACAATTTATAAACAGTTTAAGATTTTTCATTTTTGAAAAGCTTGTAGCATTCAACCGAATCTCGTCTGATTTGAGGCATTGTACCACGATTCCTTTAATTTTGTCTGTTCCCTGTACCAGGCAACAATATTAATACTAAGTTGTTAAGCAAAACTATATTTACATGAAGTGTTTCTTATTGAAATTGAATAAAAGATCATATGTATTCTACTTACTGTGTTTTCTGTCAGAACGTGATAAACATCCTCAGGAAACCACAATCTACTGCGCTTGCCAGGCTCAGTGGGCGACTCTTGACGAACTATTTCTTTACCCATTTCTTCAATCAAGTCATGCATCCAAAGAAGGTTATTCTCAATAGTTATGAGGGCCTTTTCTATGAGTACTTCAATACCATACTTAGGGTTGAGGTTACAACTTTCTAGTACTTCTATCACATAGCTTCTACTTTTACCATTAAAGAAGCATGCAATGTCGAGGAAAACTTCTTTCACGGAATCTTCCAAACTGTTGTAACTTATTTTGAGAATTTCATGAATCTCATGGTTTGGAACTCTTTTGTAACTGTCTAATGCATCTTGCCATTGCTCGTCGCTTCTGCCGCATAAAAGGGAACCAAAAACTATCAGAGCTAATGGAAGGCCATAAGCGTAGTGTAGTACTACCCTTTTCACTTTCCCATGATCAACCATATGTCCATTTCTTCCAAAGGCATTCCAACTGAATAGTTGGATAGCTTCGTCAAGATATAATTCCTTGACCTTGTATATTAGATTAACTTGATGAGCCAATAACAAATGCTTATCTCTTGTTGTTATGATAATTCTACTTCCTAAACCGAACCAATCACACCCTCCAGCTAGTTTCTTTAACTGGTCCAGGTGACTCACGTCATCAAGAATTAAGAGAACTTTTCTATGGCTTAACATTTTCTTTACCACGTTGATTCCTTTATCAACATTGGTTATCTTCAAATTTTTACCCCCTAAAATCTCAAAAAGAAGAGTGTTTTGTAGTTCAACCATGCCTCCATCTCTCATGGAATTTTCTCTAACATTTGCCAAAAAACAGCTACAATCAAATCTATTGACAATTGAATTATGAACAGCTTTAGCAATTGTTGTCTTACCAATTCCACCAGTCCCCCAAATTCCTACCATGCGAACATCGTTTTTCTCAACATTTATAAGCAAATTCAAATCTCGCAGACGATCCTGTATTCCAACTGGGTATTCAGCCACATTCAAATGCAGACAATTCAATACTTTTGCTGAAATCTGCCCAACGATGTCATGGATGAATTTAGATTCATACCTGTTAGTTCAAAAGCATGCAATTTCTTATGTTCATTTTCAAAGAAATGCAAAGAATATAAATACACACAAAAAGAAGAACCGGGGAGAGAGCGACCCCCAATTCTCATTGCTCTGTTTTGTTCTGCTTGATTAATTCCACTGTCTGATACAAATTAATCAAGCTGGGAAATAATCAATTGTTGTGGTTAGAAATATACGTACCCTTCCAAGAAAGACCACCCAGAAAAGTTTGCTGCTTCCCTAAGAGCTGCCCTCCATCGCAGCACCTTCCCGATATCATTCTTAAATTTGTGTTCATGATGAGCAAGTGCTTCTCCAAAACGACCTCTCTGATTTCGCACATCCGAGGGATCTACTTTGTAAAAAATTGGCCAAACTATTTTTTGTTGCTTTGACTCTTTACAACTTAGGATGTGAACAAGTTCATCCAAGCACCACGTCGAGGATGCGTAGTTTTCAGAGAATACGATGACAGAAATCTTTGACTCTTGAATTGCTTTGGAAAGTGTTGGCCATATTTTTTCCCCTCTGCAAAGCCCATCGTCCATGAAGGCATTAATTCCCTTCTGTTGCAAAGCACTGTAGAGATGGTCTACGAAACTGTAGCGGGTATCCGTACCTCTAAAACTCAAGAAGACATCGTAACTCCATGGATGGGGAAAGGAAGCAGAAGAAGAAGGGGAAGAGACTCCCTTAGTGATCATTGACTCGTTAGAGTACAAAATAGAGCGTTCTCCATTCATTTCGAATATGTGCTCTCACCTGTGAAGTTGTGATATCCTTTAAATAAATGCCCCATGTGGTTTCCATCTCTTTTCTCTATGACTGTTGTCAGGAATATGTTCTTTATAATCTCATTGGGCCAATTTCCATCTCTTTTTTTTTGGTAATAGCAAGTGAGCAACCACTCCGAGTCGTAGACCTGAACGGATTTGACTCTCCCCAGGGGGTGTTTTTCACAAGGTGGGATTCGTGTTTAGCATATGCAGAACAGTTGGTATTTGTTGAAATGCCCTATGTAGTTTTCAAATAGTCTTAGGTTGCCTCCTGACATTTAAGGGGCAGACTCTTTTCTCTATGACTGTTTGTCAGGAATATGTTCTTTATAATCTCATTCGGCCAATTTCCATCTCTTTTTGCGTTTGTGTTTAGCATATGCAGAACAGTTGGTATTTGTTGAAATGCCCTATGTAGTTTTCAAATAGTCTTAGGTTGCCTCCTGACATTTAAGGGGCAGACTCTTTTCTCTATGACTGTTTGTCAGGAATATGTTCTTTATAATCTCATTCGGCCAATTTCCATCTCTTTTTGCGTTTGTGTTTAGCATATGCAGAACAGTTGGTATTTGTTGAAATGCCCTATGTAGTTTTCAAATAGTCTTAGGTTGCCTCCTGACATTTAAGGGGCAGACTCTTTTCTCTATGACTGTTTGTCAGGAATATGTTCTTTATAATCTCATTCGGCCAATTTCCATCTCTTTTTGCGTTTGTGTTTAGCATATGCAGAACAGTTGGTATTTGTTGAAATGACCCATGTAATTTTCAAATAGTTTTAGTTTGCCTCCTGACATTTAAAGGACTCAATCTGCCCCTTGAATTTTCATTTTGTAATCAAGGTTGCCCCATTCCGTTAGTTTTCAGAAGAAAAAAAAATTTTCGTTAAATCATTTGACGTGGCATGGATATTTTGGTAAATTTAACTATTAAAAATTAAAAGGTTCAAATTAAATATAAAAAAATCCTTGAAATGATTTAAAATGTCTAAAAATATATAAAATAAAAATAAATTATGAAATAACTTTTTAACAATACCTAGTAGCCCCTCCCAACCCCAAGCTCGACGGTACCGTCAAACCCCTCATATTCTCTCTCTTCCCATCGACTCTCTCTCTTATCTCTCCATCTCCTCCCATGCTATCTATCTCTCTCATCTCTCACTCACTTCCCCTCCAACTTAGATCTGGAGTAGAGAGTGACGCCGAAGAAATATCTCCCCCAAACTGTACCATGTTCTTCCACATAATCGAAGCCAACCCAAAGTCCACCATTTCCAAAATTTACAAAACTCCCCAATAAATAACTCAATAAAATAAAAAATAAAAGGGGACAGAAATCAATACCTAGTGTGTGGGTGATGAATGATGAGTGATTGAAGAGGACAAGAGGAATGGGTGTGTGGGTGATGATGACGGAGGAGTGATTGGAAAGAGAATGGGCAATGGAGGAGAGAGAGAGAGAGAGAGAGAGAGAGAGAGCTGGTGAGAAGGAGAGGGACGATCCCGACAACGTGTTTAGCATATGCAGAACAGTTGGTATTTGTTGAAATGCCCTATGTAGTTTTCAAATAGTCTTAGGTTGCCTCCTGACATTTAAGGGGCAGACTCTTTTCTCTATGACTGTTTGTCAGGAATATACAACGTTCTCTCTCCTCTTTCTTTTATTCTCTTCTTTTTTTTTTCCTTTCTTTCTCTCTTCTCTCCCTGTTTCCTATTTTTCCCCTTCGTTTATCCTCTCTCTCTCCTCCTCCTTCTGTTTTTTCTTCTTCTTTCTCTTTATTTCTCTCTATGACCCATGTAATTTTCAAATAGTTTTAGTTTGCCTCCTGACATTTAAAGGACTCAATCTGCCCCTTGAATTTTCATTTTGTAATCAAGGTTGCCCCATTCCGTTAGTTTTCAGAAGAAAAAAAAATTTTCGTTAAATCATTTGACGTGGCATGGATATTTTGGTAAATTTAACTATTAAAAATTAAAAGGTTCAAATTAAATATAAAAAAATCCTTGAAATGATTTAAAATGTCTAAAAATATATAAAATAAAAATAAATTATGAAATAACTTTTTAACAATACCTAGTAGCCCCTCCCAACCCCAAGCTCGATGGTACCGTCAAACCCCTCATATTCTCTCTCTTCCCATCGACTCTCTCTCTTATCTCTCCGTCTCCTCCCATGCTATCTATCTCTCTCATCTCTCACTCACTTCCCCTCCAACTTAGATCTGGAGTAGAGAGTGACGCCGAAGAAATATCTCCCCCAAACTGTACCATGTTCTTCCACATAATCGAAGCCAACCCAAAGTCCACCATTTCCAAAATTTACAAAACTCCCCAATAAATAACTCAATAAAATAAAAAATAAAAGGGGACAGAAATCAATACCTAGTGTGTGGGTGATGAATGATGAGTGATTGAAGAGGACAAGAGGAATGGGTGTGTGGGTGATGATGACGGAGGAGGAGTGATTGGAAAGAGAATGGGTAATGGAGGAGAGAGAGAGAG